AGCGATGGCCTCCAACCTAAGAGCGATGGCCTCCAACCTAAGAGCGACGGCCTCCAACCTAAGAGCGATTGCCTCCAACCTAAGAGCGACGGCCTCCAACCTAAGAGCGACGGCCTCCAACCTAAGAGCGATGGCCTCCAACCTAAGAGCGACGGCCTCCAACCCAAGAGCGATGGCCTCCAACCTCAGCGACATGGCCTCCAACCTAAGAGCGATGGCCTCGAACCTAAGAGCGATGGCCTCCAACCTAAGAGCGATGGCCTCCAACCCAAGAGTGATGGCCTCCAACCTAACAGAGATGGCCTCCAACCGAAAAGAGATGGCCTTCAACCTAATAGAGATTGCACAGAGATGGCCTCCAACCTAAGAGCGATGGCCTCCAACCTAAGAGCGATGGCCTCCAACCTAAGAGCGATGGCCTCCAACCCAAGAGCGATGGCCTCCAACCCAATAGCGATGGCCTCCAACCTAAGAGCGATGGCCTCCAACCTAAGAGCGATGGCCTCCAACCTAAGAGCGATGGCCTCCAACCTAAGAGCGATGGCCTCCAACCTAAGAGCGATGGCCTCCAACCCAAGAGCGACGGCCTCCAACCTAACAGAGATGGCCTCCAACCTAATAGAGATGGCGTCCAACCTAAGAGCGATGGCCTCCAACCTAAGAGCGATGGCCTCCAACCTAAGAGCGATGTCCTCTAACCTAAGAGCGATGGCCTCCAACCTAATAGAGATTGCCTCCAACCTAATGGACATGGCCTCCAACCTCATATAGAGATGACCTCCAACCTAAAAGCGATGGCCTCCAACCTAATAGAGATGGCCTCCAAACCTAAGGGCGATGGCCTCTAACCTAATATAGCGATCGCCTTGAATCTAAGAGCGATGGCCTCCAACCTAAGCGCCATGGCCTCCAACCTAAGAGCGATGGCCTCCAAGCTAAGAGCCATGGCCTACAGAGAGACATGGCCTCCAACCTAAGAGCGATGGCCTCCAACCAAAGAGCAATGGCCTCCAACCTAATAGAGATGGCCTTCAACCCAATAGAGATGGCCTCCAACCTTATAACAGAGATGGCATCCAACCCAATAGAGATGGCCTCCAACCTAATAGAGATGGCCCCCAACCTAATAGAGATGGCCTCCAACCTGATAGAGATTGCCCCCAACCTAATGGAGATGGCCTACCTCATAGAGATGGCCCCCAACCTAAGAGCGATGGCCTCCAACCTTGTAGAGATGGCCTCCAACCTAATAGAGATGGCCTCCAACCTAATAGAG